CAATCATGTGTTATATGCACCCTTAATTATGGGCAATAGAATTCTGAAAAAATATATGTGTCGTATATAAACATTTCAGGCTGTCAGCATGAACCACGAAATTAACGATCTTTTAACTGTTTGTTTTTTTTCCGCCAAAATAATATTCTAATAAAAGCCACCTATTTCTAATTTTGAGAGCACCCTGGGCGCTTATTATGTAGAATATGGTACATGTTTGAACAATAGTTCTTCTTTCACAGTCTGCAACTTAAGTGACTGGTCCTATGGCCAAGTCTTATTTACATTTCTTTCTGAAAAGGCAGGTTGGGCCTCGTAGCCTCCTTAAGTTTGCGTGACAGACTGTTTTAAAGGAAGACTGTGTTCTTGTTTGTTGCCAATCTTTATGTTAGGTCTTGATGTTGTTACGCATGACATTGAGACATTGAGGTTTGACTTCAGTCATCAAGTTTTATGACCTTGTTCAACCCAGCCATAACTGGTTACTCAAACATTTCCAGCACACCTAGGCCCACTTGCTCAAAGCGATATTAGCGCTACAATTATTGCAAGTCTATATTAATATATCGGAGTTACGATTGGCGTAGAGCTAAGATCACTTTGTGCAAGTGAACCCTCATGTCTTCACTAATTGTACAATGACATGACAAATTGTAAGTGTTGCTCCCATTTCGATAGGATTCCCAAATTTGGCTTCATGTTGTTGTCAGCTGTATCTGTCCAGCGTGGTTCATTTTTTCTTGCATATTTTTCCATGTAGGGAACTGATCGAGTGAGTGAATGAATATTGCTTAATGCCGCATAAGCAATTTTGCAGCTATTCGCGGCGAAGGGAACTGACCGAGGCCAATGAGTAACCAGTGAGGTCTTCAGCCTGACCCCTCGTCCCACTCTCAGTTAGATACAGACACATGTAGCCCCAGTCTTATCCTTGTAATAATCCTTTGAGTGCTTTTCTAAGGATAAGTCGCCTGATGTGTACAACATAGTATCAAAGATCAGACCCAAAGACCACCAACATCAGCATGAACAATATTCTCTGACCTACAGCTGACAGAGAGCGAGTGAGCATGCGAGTGGACAATGAGCAACCAAGTTTTTTTTGTTTGTCCCTCTTAGAAATAGTCCAGTCCCATTTTGGCAGATACAAAGAATGGGCTTCATTTTAACTTGGTCTTTGGTTGTAAGAGTAAACACATCACAAACTATGCTACCTGACCTACTCTGCAAACAATGAGGCATAGCCACCAACTTTCCCAAATTACAATCCGTACAAGCCCAACAGTATGAATGAATCGTCTGCCAAATCGGTTCCAAAACTCAGCTGAAGTCTACATCGTTGTTTAACTCAATGCACATCCAACATGTAGTTCCTGCTTGGATCTGTACCCCGGAGAGCGGAAGGTCCGGGGTTCGATCCCCGTCCGCGTCATACCAAAAGACGTTAAAAGATGGTACTTGTTGTTATCCTGTCTGACGCTCGGCATTAGGGGCTAAAACAAGGACTGGTCGGCTTGGAGTCAGTATACTGTGTCTGAGTTGGGTATTCATGTTAAACTGCGGCATGGTATATCAGTGAGCTAGCACTATAAATCGGCATCAGTCCGGACTAGTACAAGCAGCCACATACACACACGTGCATGCACGTCGCTATATAAGTGCAATAATCTTGGACGCGACGTTAAACCTAATTTCACCTCACCTCACCTTGGATCTGAACCTACTTGTGATTAGCTAGGACCTTCTCACAGAACTTCTTGTGCCTACTGAGTGCACTGCGGTATTTGTACACCTTCCCACAGACACAGGTAAAAGTGATGTTGCTGTGAACAGCTTCAAAATGTATTCTCCTTGTGTCCGGGTTGGAAAATGTTTTGTCACATATATTACAAGCCAACAGTCTACGTGAAAATGGATCTTCCGTATCGACAGATACCAAGTGTTCAGAAGTAATTTGAGATGCAGCTCGCCCAAAGCTGTATATATTTGCTTGAGTTTTGGTCACATGCTGTCCAAAACCTTTGTCTGTGTAGCCTGCATAGCCAAAACCTGAAAGTAACAAAAACAAGTTCTAGTGTCTGTTGACTTTATCTTTTCATGACACATATGATTTTGATGCTAATCATTTTAATAGCAGGTGTGTGTATGTAGCAGGGCTGTGCATTGGCACCTTTTTTTATTGCAATATATAGATATAAGGGCAGGGACGAGTCCAAATTTACTAACCAGGTACCCAACCCCTGATTACCCAATGTACTCGGGTACCCGCTGTAGGTCATGGGTACAAAATTTCTGATTGGGAATAGTTTGACCATAGTCCTGGCAAAATGTATTTTGATACAATCTAAATTGTACATGCAGATCCTATTTCCTACATATGAAAAAAATATTACGCTGGGTTTTACAAAAGAGGCAAACTTTGGACTTTCCTCCTACATGAAGTTGACACGCCATGATATAACAGAAATACTGTTCAAAGCAGCATAAAATCCAACTGACTCCTGTAACATGTTAACTTAAGCCATAGTGTTCATGATTGGAAGAAAGAAACACTGAATATTTCCCATAAGGGTAGAATGATCGTGTGTAATAACATGTGATTCTCAATGCTGATTGGTCAGTTGAAGCTATGACATCACAGTGCGTCATTGTTGAAGAAAATACAATATGACATCATCATTTTTAATGACATCACAAATGGATTACATGACATCACCTGAACAAAAGGCTGCCTTCAGTGAAGTTCATCTCAAGTGTTGACATTTAATGCTTTTCCTCACATTCTCTTAAAATGCCAGTAAGTAATAAAAAGAATAAACAACTTGGAACTCAGAATTAAAGATTATCTGTCTCTTGTGAACAAATGCTAAAGGTTTGGGACTTACACCATTCATTCACTCGGGAATATAATCCGCAATTCCTTGTACCTTGTCTGTTTTCTCTTTAAATACACAATGCAGGAAATTAAATAATTTTTAAAAAAGAAATTTACATCCAGATCTTGCTCTACCTTCTAACAACATCAGCCAATTTCCTTTCCCCCCTAAATAATGTCAGTGTGTGTATTTTCTGAGGCCTCTCCAGGGCAAACACCGGCTTGTTGATGTTTCTTCAGAGATCTCATGTAGCGATAGGTCTTCCCACACACACACACATGCACGATATTCTCATGGACAGCCTGCCTATGAACCCTTCTAGCAGTGCTATCATTGAACACCCGGCCACAGATGTCACAAATGGACTTCTTCTTGGTCGTGCTGCCTGGGGATGACTCGTCATGAACTGACAAAGGGTGGCTAGTCGGTACATTGGGTGGAAACTGGGACGTGTATGTGGCCAGCTTTGGCCACGGCCACCTAGCATCATTGGGGATAAGCTGATTTGAATCTGAAAGTAACAAATGAAACATCGCTAGATACGAAGAGACTGAGTTTGATTAGGGTAGGAATGAAACAACATTGTCACCCGTGTCCTGCCAACAGTGATAAAAGGCTGTGGTTTTAGAGTATGGGTGTTGGCTAGTTCTAGCTACAATGAAAAATGAGAGATGCTAAGCAGAATGGGGTGAACACATTGTATCCTTGTGGGAATCAGATCAGTTCTTCAACTTGACCAGTGAATGAGTGAGTGAGTGAGTGGGCTTGTGAGTGTTCCTTAAAGCAGTATCATCACGGACGCAGCAGGAATTGGGCAATTTTTTTTGTCCTTGTTGAAATCAGAACTGGTCTTCAACCTGACCAGTGAGCGAGCGAGTGTTGTTTGACATCCTTAAAGCAGTATCATCACAGACGCACCAAGAATTAGGTGACAACTGCGTCCTTGTTGAAATCAGACCTGGTTTTCAACCTGGCCAGTGAGTGTTTGAGTGTTTGAGTGAGTGTTTGAGTGAGTGTTTGAGTGAGTGAGTGTTTGAGTGAGTGAGTGTTTGAGTGAGTGAGTGAGTGAGTGAGTGAGTGAGTGAGTGAGTGAGTGAGTGAGTGGCATTGTTTAAGATCCTCTTTGGCAACATTCAAGCCTTATCATCGAACCTTGGCCTTTGGCGTGACGAGTGAACGCTTTCACCGTTAGGCTATTTCACCGCCCCTTCGAGTTTTGAGGTAATAGTCGTGTACATGCAATTAGTTCCCTCTCTGCAGATGCAAGGATAAATCGACAAAATGACTTGAGTGTGTTTTAACATAATGACCAATCAGACACCTCATATCACTGATGGATATTTGTAAACACGATGTGAAATGAATACATAGCTCTCATTTGTCAGCAGTAGAATGCTTCATGTTGCCAGTGCAAAAATCAATTTGCATAATATTTTATGTGTGTAAATAGAAATGATAAAATTAGTAATTTAGGGGGGAGGGGAGAGAGACAAACTTATTGGCGGATTTTTAGGCTCAAAATCGTAAATACTAGCCTGAATCGATCGTAATGGTGTGTTCAGTGTATCAGACACCTGTGTGAACTGTATTGGTTAACTTCAATTATACCTGTGGTAATTTCAGGGTTAACAAAGCCCAAGTGCCTGATGTTGTCATGCAGAATGACAAGCAAGGATGAGGTGGTCAGTGTATGTGACAAGACCCGTGAAGATCCGGGGTAGAATTAGGTCTTCAGCAACCCATGCTTGTCGTAAGAGGTGACTAACGGGATCAGGTGGTCAGGCTCCCTGACTTGGTTGATGGATGTCATCGATCCCAAATGCATGGATCGATGCTCATGATGTCAACCACTGGAGTGTCTGGTCCAGACTCGATTACTTACAGACTGCCGTCATATAGCTGGAATATTGCTGAGTGCGGCGTAAAACAACAAACAAACAAAACAAACAGTGTGTGGCCAGGATAATTGTGTGTTACCTTATCAAGAAAAACATGGATTGCACCATGCAATCAACCACTCGTTGGCATAAAACAACATTCACTCCCTATGCAAAAGACAACAACCGGAAATGATTGTTTCTATTTTTTAAGTCCTTAGTAGCAAACACAAGCTAAGGCTTATACTATTATTCATATGATTGTTTATTATGACAATTATTGTACAAACATGTACTGTATTCACAATCTGTATACAAAATCCAACACAGGGTAATATCCTGTGTACACAGAACAAGAATGTTCCCATCTTCTTGATATAAACCATGCAACAGTTCTGGTTCCTGTTGCCTTTTAAAGAGACTCTTGCACAGTAGAAAAATGACCAACAAGACGTGACCTTGCTAAACCTCATTATTAACATTATAAAAGTAAAATCCTGCATATGTAGCTCAAGAAACGATGATTTATGCTGAACTACATAGAATTGATAAAAAGCAATAACATCGGTATCATACATCAACATATGTCCAAATGAGTGAGTGAGTGAGTGAGTGAGTTGGGTTTAACGCCACTTTTAACAGTATTCCAGTTATATCACGGCGTGTCAGCTTAATGTGGGAGGAAAGCCCGAAGTGATGCAGGTCTCAGACGTTTACAACTTCGGTGAAACCCACGAGCACAGGTATGGTGCTGACAAACCTAGAAACATAATCGGTGCGAACCGGGATTCGAACCCTCAATGATAGGTTTCCGGCGTGCCTGAAGGACAATTCTTCACAGCAAATCACGGCGCCTGAGATGATTGGGCCACCCATGCCCCTACATGTCCAAAGAAATTTGTTTTGGCCTATTCAGTTTTGATAGTATATAAGAATTGACTTCCACTTTGAGTGAGTTCATTGGTGTATGAACCTTCACAGAATGAGAGCCACTTCAGTTTCGGTTATGTGACCAACATCTCGTCCAATGGAAAAGCCACATAACGCATAAACTTCACATTGAAGTTATTATCAGGTGAAGAAACAAACACAAAATGCTGAAAGTGATTGTTTGAAATAATAAGTAAAACATCTGGCTTTGCTTTAGAAAAAAACTCAAACAAAACGCACTTATTCAACAGAAGTAACATCATGAAGTATTTCAGATCTCAATATGAAGAGAGTCAAGATATAGGAGAAATACATTGCCGCTGCCCTCGAATCAGTGGAAAGTTGTCATCGTCACTTCACTGCCCTGTGATGACTTTGCATGACTTGTTTGTGCAGCACACACTTTACTGTTTCTCAAATGTTTCTGTAAGCTTGATCGGTACTTGTACATCTTCCCACAGACACAGGTAAAGATCATAAGATCATGTACAGCCTCAACATGATATTTCCTGGCAGTGCTTGTAACAAACACCCGATCGCAATTCGGACACGGATACGTCCCCTGGCCCCCCTGGATCCCTGGATCAGATTGACGCCACTGATCCCATTCATCACCCTGACTCCCTACCGACCACTGACCCCCACCGTCATCCAGACCCCCTTCTGACAACCGAACACCTATTGGAACTCGTCCATGATAAGCTTGCCCTCTGAGCAATGTTACAGCTTGTCGAGAAGCACCTCCATAACCAACTGAACCTGAAACAACAAAAAGTACCCATTGACACACTGCATATTCATTAGCTACTGCAAGATATTCAGAAGAAAGGAGTCCTCTAAACTCAGAGATCTGTGACAAACAGGAAAGTATTTCTAACCCACTCCACACTGATATCCTGTATGTTCAACAGAAATATTCCAGTTCTGTTGAACCTGACCTGAAATGCTATGTGGTCTGAAAATACACCAGCCAGTATAACAGAAATTCAACAGGAAGTTTCTGGGAAATCGCCTATCTGTGATACCCAACACACATGGAACACTTCTTCTTATGCCTGGACAAGGCATTGCAGTAGTTGTAAGTCACACCACAGACACAGGCAAAGGTGGCCTGGTCATGGATAGCCTTAACATGGTTCCATCTGGCCCCCCGACCAGAGAACACTTTGTCACACTGAGAACATGGGAACAGCCCTGTGTGGGTAGGAACGTGTGATTTCATCAGAGTAATGGGGGCTTGCTCTGCAAATGGTCTGCCATGAATATGTCCAAGGGCTACATTAAGCCCTGCGGGGAACGGGTTCTCAAGGACAAAACCTGCAAGCAACAAAAAGCAGGTTCAAGTTCATGCTTCAAGTCCATCTTTCTACTCTGGGTGTTTCAGATATGGTGTAACTGTCTGCAGATGTGTGTGCATGGAAACAGTGTTGCCCGACCGTCTGAGACGGGTTGATTTCAACTCGGGCTGCCAGATTTTCAAATCCCCCTGCCCGACGGTCGGGTTATATTTCATATGTAAAAATATTCTAAATATTTCCCGATGATACTCATTATTTACATGATGTATTCTAGGATGTAAATACAAATCTGTCCTAAAAAGTGTTTGCTATTTCTTTTCTTGCATTACTTCATATTCATTGAATTCGATTTAAACTTTCAATTAAATTATCCTGAGAAACATATGATTATAGTGGGCAGGCAGGTTTTGGTCAGGGCTGGCAAGTATTTCAGCTAGTATTTAACATCACAAGATGTTTCCTTGTATACAAATTATGAATTGAAAGGGACACAACCTTCGGCAACAATATCAGGAACAGTAAACTTAATTTGAAGTGTCTTAGAATTTGCTTTTAACAAATCTGGCCATATCATGTCCTTGATACAAATGGATCAAACTGATGAAAATATTGGTTATTCCCCTATAAGAGTTTCTTCCATGATGCAAAAACAATGATCAATGTCTCCTGAATAATGATACTGCTTCCCTTGAAAAGTCAAATTTGCATTCACCAACAACTGATTTGATTATAAACCCATGTGGGGAACTCGATCAGGTCTTCTTCACAACCAGCTCCCACATCTACCACAAAGCCAACAAACTTTGTGTAATATACAGTCTCCATAACCAATCTGGCATTTACATTGGTCAGGAATGACCAATCACCATCTGCTACATCAGAGAGGCATTGTGATGCACCAAGAACAAGATTTCTTATGTCTGGACAGGGAAGTTCCGAAATTGTATTTCTTGCCACACACACAAGCATACACCTGTCGGTCATGTACAGCGCCTACATGGTTCCATCTTGCTCCATGACTGGCAAACACTTTGTCACAGACAGGGCAGTGATAGTTCCCATTGACTGGCTCAGGATAAACTCTGTATGGACTCCGACCTGAGCTAGCCTGTGGTAGTGCAAAGCTCCTATCAAAGGTATGGAAATTGGGAATGATACCATGACAATCCTGAACAAGTTCATCTGAAAGAAACAAAAGAAAAAGGTTCTCAAGAAGTGCTGATATCGCATGGACTTAAGTAACAACCAATACGAACATATTGATTTATCGTGTAACCTAATGTCATTCTGACATTAAAAGTATTTCAACTTTTATATTGTTTCTAGTTATTAGTAAGGAGGTTAGTGAGAATTTATATCACTTTTTACAATATTTTAAAAAGGGACACCAGAACGAACTTCACCCATCATACCAATTTCCCTTTTAATTAGAACCTCAGACTTCAATGTAACAAGCAAACACTTTAACCACAAGACTACCAAGCTCCCCCCATGAAGTTATTGAACCAAACAAGACATACAACTGGTTAAGAAGAAAACCATCACTCCCTGTCATGTATAGATATGCCATCATATCATCAGAATGGCAACAGCAAGGAAAGGAAGGGCGACATGAAGAACCTCAGAGACTGACCTTCAAAACAGTCACAATTTCAGAAGACATTAACTCAAGAGTCAGCTACAGCAGAACAAAATCAGAAGAACATTGGAAGAGAAATATCTGCCGATATGAAATTCCTGAAGACATCAGAAGACAACACCTTAAGGGTCAGCCATAGAAGAACACTCTTGAACATAAAACGCTGATCACATGTTACAGCCATAAGAACAGATGTTCCAGACATGTTCACCAGATCTCGTCAGCTCCAGACAGCTGCGTTCAAGACATGTTCACCAGATCTCGTCAGCTCCAGACAGCTGTGTTCAATAGATGTTCACCAGATCTCGTCAGCTACAGACAGCTGCGTTCAAGACATGTTCACCAGATCTCGTCAGCTCCAGACAGCTGCGTACAAGACATGTTCACCAGATCTCGTCAGCTCCGGACAGCTGTGTTCAATAGATGTTCACCAGATCTCGTCAGCTCCAGACAGCTGCGTTCAAGACATGTTCACCAGATCTCGTCAGCTCCACACAGCTGCGTTCAAGACATGTTCACCAGATCTCGTCAGCTCCGGACAGCTGCGTTCAAGACATGTTCACCAGATCTCGTCAGCTCCGGACAGCTGTGTTCAAGACATGTTCACCAGATCTTGTCAGCTCCAGACAGCTGTGTTCAAGACATGTCCACCAGATCTCGTCAGCTCCAGACAGCTGTGTTCAAGACATGTTCACCAGATCTTGTCAGCTCCAGACAGCTGTGTTCAAGACATGTCCACCAGATCTCGTCAGCTCCAGACAGCTGTGTTCAAGACATGTTCACCAGATCTCGTCAGCTCCAGACAGCTGTGTTCAAGACATGTTCTCCAGATCTCGTCAGCTCCAGACAGCTGTGTTCAAGACATGTTCACCAGATCTCGTCAGCTCCGGACAGCTGTGTTCAAGACATGTTCTCCAGATCTCGTCAGCTCCAGACAGCTGTGTTCAAGACATGTTCACCAGATCTCGTCAGCTCCGGACAGCTGTGTTCAAGACATGTTCACCAGATCTCGTCAGCACCAGACAGCTGTGCCATGTACACAGAACATTTTCGTCTGTGTCTCTGCAAACTCTGGCTGTATGGGTATTTCTTCCCACAGATACAAGTGTAAACCAGTTTCTGGTGAATAGCAGCAATGTGGCTCCATCGGGCACCATAGCCTAAAAATACTTTTTCACAATGAGGGCATGGAAACACTCCGCTTGGTGGGTTAGGGCTTTCTTGTGATGGAGAACGTAAATTGTGTTGTTCCTTCCAGGACTGACTAGTCTGATCTGAATCTTCATGTTGTCCGGACCGAACATTGTCAACATATCTGTTTGAGCATTGGTTACCTGAAAGTAACAAAAACGTCTTTAATGGCCTGTTCTTGTTCTTCAACAAGGTAAATATTTATCTTTACAGTTGTGATCAAGAATAACTCTGCATGGAGTAGGAAGTGGAACAACACCCAACATGAAGGAGCAGTTGTGCATGAGGACGTGCTTGCATCAGCAATGGAAAAGCATATTTATGTCAGAAACTGTTGGCAATTCAACCTGTGATTTTGTCCACATAATCAAACGTTCAGGGGAATGAGGTATAAGAAGAGAACCAGAAAATGACGACGTGGGGAATGACATCCAGGTGGAGTAGAATTCTTTACATGACATCAAGGTAAACAAACAACCAGAGCTGCAAAATCTCCCAAAATTCCACGTCAAGGTCTATGCTGACTGATCCACGACGCACACAGCACAGGATCGTTTATGCCTCAGTAAATTCTGACTGTAAGGATAGGACTTGCCACAAACACAAGAGAAAGTCTGTTTGGCATGGATAGCCGTTATATGATTGGACCTGGACCCAGCGCTTGCAAACATTTTATTGCAATCTGGACAAGGGAATCTGGATCCAATTGGCTCAGGCAGTGGTCTGAAACAACGACGGAACTTCAGACTTCCTTGTGGCGGCCAGTAAGAATATTCAGCTTTTCCTGACTCCTCGGTGACGTTTATGCCATCATGCCATTGGTGTTCAAGAAATCGTTGAGAACTATGGAGACCTGAAAAAGTAACAAAATGTTTTTCTAGTCGTTTATGGTCCAAAATATCATCAACATGTGCCTGCGGAAATACATCTGAAATTGAACTCCGAGCAACTGCTGAATATATTTTTGTTTGTTTTTTGTTAAACATGGGAGTTATTCAAGCAATATATCTGCAGCCAGTAAATAAACAAGTGGATGGCAAAATTATATAAACTTTCCATACCACAGGGGTACAATGTTAACTCTCCTCGAGTTCTTTCATGTGTGCTTCTTTTCTATGTTAAATAATGCTGGTTTGTCCTTGTTCGCCAACAAGTGTATAGTCTAGTGTAGAGGGTCCATAAATTTTGTAAGTATGAACAAAATATGTAAGCAAAAACACGGAAAGCATAAATAGCAACCTAGCAAAATGGTAAATTGCATTGTGCAGATCACAGCTGGCTTTGTAACAATCCAAAAAAAATCTTTTTGCGAAATCATAACATCATGTACCTTGCAAGATAGTCACAAGTTGTTACATTTCATATTCCTTGTGTTCTGGCTTATACATGTCTACAACAGGCCTGCATAAGAAATGTCCAGGGAAATTATTGAAGAAAAGGATTGTCAATCTACCTAAAATCAAGCGGCGAAAAAAACAATTCGAGGCAAAAGTGGAGGATTGTGTTTTAATGCACTTAGTTTATCACCTACAACGATTCAAAAGACAAACAGTTTGGATTCCCCGGTTCCCCTTCAAGTTGCTTCTCGTGACAAGTATTAAAGTATTAGGTACTTGGAACCTATTCTGACCTGGAGTCCGCAATGGTTCGGTCAGTGTGATAAGTATTTCCATATATAAATATCTAAACACAACAAAAGGGAAAACAAAGAAAGCGGTGACACCAAATCAAATATTCCAACATTCATAGAGTTTTGTTTTCTTTGTTCTTTTAGGAATACAACTTTGGGTTTCCAGGTTCTATGGAGTCACAGAACCCATGTACTATGCAAATCAAACCATCAGAATGACAAACAAACAACTCGACCCTTCTCTACCCAAATATGCCAGCATGAACCAATGGAAACACCAGATTTCTTTGTCACCTTGAGAAGAGTGAGTGAGTGAGTATGGTTTTAAGACGCTTTTAGCAATATTCCAGCAACATCACAGCAGGGGACATCAGAAATGGGCTTCACACATTTTACCAATGTGGGGAATCGAACCCGGGTCTTCGGCGTAACGAGCTAACACTTGAACCACTAGGCTACCCGACCGCCCCCACATTGAGAAGACATGATATATGGCAACTACACTTTGGGGTTGACACAGAATGGACACATCTTTTTGTGCCGAATCAAACTAGGGCTATGAAGGTAGACCTTCCCACAGACACACGTGAACTTGGTCTTATTATGGACAGAGGACACATGGTTCCATCTGGCTCCAGTCCCAGCAAACACTCTGCCACACACAGGACATGGATAGCTTCCAGATCTCACTTCGGGAGACTGATAGAAGTCCTGAACACTGAGCTTGTCAACACCAAGCTGTGCAGGACGACTTGGTTGGCCTGGTCCTGCCAAAACTCCATAATAATAATCTGAAAGTAACAAAAACACCCTCTTCTAGACAACTGGTAGGATCTTCTGACATACAAGGGGCAACCCACAACATCTGCTGTAGTGAAGATGCATTTGTGCTTTAAATGAATGTCATTATAACTGTAGAAGTACATGAAAACCCCACCAAGCTCCTTGCCTTCCGATGTGACACCAGAATTCTGATAAACAATTACTCTGAACGATTGTGGTCAAAGAATAAATAAATATTGTTTTAACAAGACATCTTCTATTCCAAGCTCTGCTTGCAGGCATTTCGTCTTGTCACTTGCATATCACAGTTCCAGAATTTGGTGTAATGAACTGGGAAACCATGTTGCACATTCTTCTTGACCCAGACCGCTTGATTTCGGTTCTGAGGAATCTATAACAACAGAACCAGTTCCTGGCTTGTTGACATTTCACAGGTTGGTTAAGCATATATTGTCAGCCAGATTTTGGTCATGGGCCCTTCATGTAATAATGATAGCACAGAGAAATCATTGATCCTGAAAATGACAGAAGCATCAAGTGCTGGATGTGGAACTCTGTCCCACCATATAAGCAGCACAGGACTTCTGGTGTCTCAGCAGGTTGGGTTTGTACGTATACTCTCTTCCACACACACACTTATATACAACTTTGCGGTGAATGGCCATGATATGGTAGCGCCTTGCTCCAGCTGTGGCACAGACTTTAACACAATGAGGGCAAGGGTAGCTGCCTGCGGAGTCAGGGGGTGCTCGGGTGGGGCAGAATGAACCTCTAGGGGACATCAAGTTCAAGAACTGATTCTGATCGGTGAGAATGGCATGAACGTCTCCTCGGGGGAAAGGGTTAGGATCGTCAAATCCAAGAATGGTGTCACGAATAGGGTAATCTGAAACCAAATAAAAGTTTGCTCTAGTTTGGTTCTTTTAGCTCATCATCTTC